TCCTACAAGTATGGTTTTGTCTGCATCATGTAGTATTTGATACATAATATTTTCATCCATTTTTTTCTTTGATCTATGAGGTACTGGAAGTATATTTCTTAATACATTAAGATAATTTTTTAATTTCCTAGTTATGTTTCTACTGTTCATTACAATTCACTTAGGTCAGAGAATATACTCTGTATGACTACAAATTTGTTGCAACTTCTTTTATGGCAAGTAAATGGTCAATTTTTTTAAACTTTCCATGTGTACTTGAAAAGGGCTCTGCAGATGGACACAATGTTCTAATTTTTTACTCATGCTGTCCAAACTATCTACATGCTTATTGTTTTTCCCTCTGCTTGTTCTACAAATTACTGAGAGAAGTATATTAAAATATCTCACTATCTTTGTGGATTTCTCTATTTTTCCTCATAGTTCTGATTATTTTTTTCCTCATATGTTTGGATAATGTATAATTATTGTCTTTTCCTTGTAAACTGGAACTTCTATCATTTTAAAATTGTATTTTTATCTCTAGAGATTATTTTCATTTAAAAGTCTATTTTATCTAATACTAATCTGATCACCCCAGACTTCCCTAGGTTTGAATGCTGTATTTTCCCATCCATTTATACCTCCTTACTATTTAAGAAGGAGGAGTTCTAGTGGTCTACTGTTTAAGGCATTTGACTGCTAACCAGAAGGCTGGAGGTTCAAACTCACCAGCCACTCCTCGGAAGGAAATCTACTTCCATAGAGAAACTGCCTTGCAAACTCAAGGAGGGGTTTTGCTATGAGTTGGACCTGACTCAACGGCAGTGAGTTTGGTTTGGTTTTGGGATATTTACGAAGTATCTCTAATAACCATTTTTGTTATTGTTAGGTGCCCCCGAGTTGATTCTCACTCCCTGTGACCCTACATACAATACAATGAAACACTGCCAGGTCCTACACGATCCTCACAAACCTTGCTAAACTTGAGCTCATCGTTGCAGCCACTATGTCAATCCATCTCATTGAGGGATCTCCTGTTCTTTGTTGACCTTTCACTTCACTAAGCAGGTATCCTTCTCCAAGGAACAATCCCTTCTGACAACACGACCAAAGTAGGTCAGACGAAGTCTGGCCATTCTCACTTCTAAGGAGCATTTCAGTCGTACTTCTTCCAGGACAGATTTGTTTGTTCTTCTAGCAATCCATGGTATTTTCAGTACTCTATGCCAACATAATTCAAATGCATCAATTCTTCTCCAGTCTTCCTTATTCATTGTCCAGCTTTCACATGCATATGAGGCAACTGAAAATATGGCTTGCATTAGGTACAGCTTAGTCTTCAAAGTGACATCTTTGCTTTGCAATACTGCGAAGGATTATTTTGTAACAGATTTTCCCAGTGCAATACAACATCTGATTTCCTGAGAGCTGCTTCCATGGGTGTTGATTGTGGAGCTAAAGAAAATGAAATCCCAGACAACTTCAATCTTTTCTCCATTTATTATGTTGTTCCTCAGTGGTCCAGTTGTAAGGATTTTTGTTTTCTTATTGTTGAAGTGTAATCCATACTGAAGACTACAGTCTTTGATATTCATCATTTAAGTGCATCTTTCAAATCATATTCACTTTCAGCAAGCAAAGGTGTGTCATTTGCTTTTCACAGGTTGTTAGTGAGCCTTCCTCCAATCCTGATGCTGTGTTCTTCTTAATACAGCCCAACTTCTCAGATCATTTGCTCAGCATACAGATTGAATACATATGGGGAAAGGATATGACCCTGATGCACATCCTTCCTGATTTTAAATCATGTAGTATGCCCTTGTTCTGTTCAAATAACTGTCTCTTGGTTTATATGCAGGTTCCTCATGAGAACAATTAATGGAATTCACATTCTTCACAATATTATCCATAATTTGTTATGATCCACACAGTCAAACGCCTTTGCATAGTCAATAAAACGCAGGTAAACATCTTTCTGGTATTCTTTGTGTTCAGCTAAGAACTGTCTGACATCAGTAGTGATATCTCTCATTCCATGTCCTCTTCTGAATCCAGCTTGCAACTATGCTTAAAAAGCATACGTAGTTTTTTAAAATTCAGTCTGGCAATTAATTTTTTAACTAAAGCATTTAGACCATTTACAATTAATGCAATTACTGAAATACCGTTCCTTAAATATATTTTTAATGGTCAATTTATCCTCTTTGTTCCATGTTCCTTTCTCTCTCTTTTTATCTTCCTTTGGATAAACAACAAAAAAATTTTTTTCCCCACTGACCCTTCAACTAACCTGTAATTATACACACACACACACATATATATATATATGTATATATTATATATGTATATATTTATTAATTATTTTAGTGGTCACTCTAAAAAGTGAAATGACTGAACAATCAAAGTCCAATATTACCATCTTCCATACAATACAGGGTTTTACAACTCTTTAACTCCTTTTATCTCCCCCATGATCTATATACCCATTTTGTGGTATATATTTAATTATATACATATACATTTTAAATCTCACAATGACCTATTTTTATGACATTACATTGTCAATCTTCATGAGATTTACCTATATAATTATTACGATTCCTTTTTTCTTTCTATTCTTCCTTTCATTAACTTCCCATTTGGAATCATGTTCCCTCTTCTAGAGAAACACTCTATATCATTTCTTTTAGTGAGGATAGACTGGTAATGAACTTTACCAGTTTTTATCTGAAAATGCCTTCAATTTAAAGGATATTTACTTTGGGCTTCCAGATTTGCATTTATTTTCTTTCAGTGTATCAAAGACACTGTTCCACTGTTATCTAGCTTTCACTGTTGCTACTGAAGTTAGCTGTTAGTCTAATTATTCCTCCTTCAAAGCTCCTAAGGCATATGATTGCTAACCGGAAGGCTGGCAGTTCAAACCCACCAGCCACTCCTCAGAAGGAAGGTTGAGCAATCTATACTTCCATAGTGATACTGCCTTGAAAACCCAAGGAGGGGGTGTCACTATGAGTCAGATCCGACTCGACGGCAGTGAGTTTGGATTTTTTTTTTTTTTTTTTGGGGAAGGGTATCTATTTTTTCTGGCTACATCTACATTTCTGTCATTGGTTGTCTATAATTTCAGTATGATGTATCTATGTGGGTTTGTTTTTTGATTATAATGTTTTGGGCTTCTTGAATATTTGGCATCTTTCATAATTTCTGATAAATTATCTCTAATAATTTCTTCAATTATTACCTTTACCCTTTCTTCTCTCTCCTCTTCTTCTAGAATACTTAAAAATGCTTATGAGAGATTCTCCCTTTACCGTATTATTTATCATTTTTTTAATGTATTTTGGTTCTTCTTTTTCTCTTTATGTTTCTATGGTGTAGTGAATTACATGGTATGGCTTTTCTAGCCATAGTCTTTACAACTCCCACAGGATTACCATGAGTAGCTGCTTTTAAACTCTTGATTGTTAGTTATCCACTGGGGGTATTTCTGTTGGAGCAGCATGAATCTTCTGGAAAGCTCACTCTCAGGTGTGTAGAACTCTGATGCTGGGATTGGTTGGTTTTGCTACTCTGCCGGGCTTAAAATGAGCCCTCCTAGAGGCAAAAGGAAATCTCATTGCTGGTTGAAAGAGACACCCAGCTGAGAGATGGTGGCAGTGGAACCAAGAGGCATGAGACAGAGCAGCAGGTTTACCTGGCCCACAGAGGCATGTCTAAGGGCAAAGTAGAGGGGAGAGTGTCCTGATCGAGGAACTGTATGCTGAGCTTGTTCCTGAACTTAACTGTAGCCTGTTGCTTCCATAATAAACCCATAATTTGTGAGTTGTGTGTGGCCACTGCAGCAAATTATTGAGCCCAGCAAAGAGGTGGTGGGTGATGTGGGAGGGATGGTTGGTGTCAAGGTTTATAAGAGGTCTGGAGGGTGGCAGCATGTCTTGCCTCGTTGGAACAGGCCTTGGGCGACTGATAGCGATTCTGTCTTCCTCTTGTGTAGTTAGAGGAGGTCAAAAGATGCCACCTCCTCAACCCTTTAGCAGTTTCATTCTGAATTTTCTCATGAACATTTTCCAGTTCACTGGTCTTCTACTTCAAGAATGTCTAACCTGCTGTTAAGTCTTATCCATTAGATTCTTAATTGTGATTGTGTTTTGAAGTTCAAGAATTTCCATTTTTGTCAAATCTGCTATGTCAACTGATACAGTTTCTAGTTCCCTTCTAAAATTTTCACGCTTGTTTTTAATTCTTTGAGCAAAATAAACATACCTGTTTTGAGTCATGTCTAATAATTCCAGTATCTGGAGATCTGCTGTTGTTGACTGTTGTCTGAGGAGCTTCTTAATTACAATGCTTGGTCCTCTTTGGTTATGTATTAGGCAGTATATTTGAAAAATTATTTATTGAAATAATTGGAGGCCTAAAATGATGTTATTTTTATCTCCAAAGAGGATGTTTGTTTACTTTTACTATGTTCCTAGGGACAGTCAAACTCAGATCATCTTAATCCATGTTCATAGTTTTAGATTATCTGGGCCATTTACATGATTCAAAGTCAGACTGAGGTCAGAGGCACAGCGTGGTTTACTCTGGTTCACTCTTACTCCTGGGGTGTATCCCTTAAGGGATTTAGTCCCAAAAAGGTAGTGGTTCACCAGTGTGCTCACTCTTGGCAGGCCTGAGACTCCCATTTTTATCAAATTACCCCACACAGGGACAAAAGTGCAGTTCAGTGTCATAGCTCCCTCCTTCTGTATGGTATAAGAATGTGAAACCTACACAGCCACCTTGACCAACATTTTTAAATCAAAAGAACTTAGTAAGTAACTTTGGCCCACGTAGACACATCTATGGAGTAAATAATGTAGCTGAAGTTATGTGATACTCAAAACAAAATTTACTACATCATTAATAAAACAAAGGACGTTTTGAGTTAAAGAACTAGAAATCAGGTTTAAAAAAAAAAAAAAAACCTGAAAAAGCCAACATGATAAAAACATCAACAGGTTCATTTATTTTCTTACCATTTTCTGCCAGCGGAGCAAGAACTTCAAAAATCATTTCCCTCTTATCATGTTCTATTTGTTTCTTGAAGAGTTTTACCAGCTCTTCAGCAATGTTTGTACTGGCAAACTGTTCTTTACTTGATTCTGCAAAGTAAAAGAGAAAACTTAGGGCAAGCAAGCAATTATTAAACTCAGAAATTGTTTCCTATTACTTTAAATGTTTGGTCATTTTGTACTAAATACCTCCATTTTTTAAAAAAAAAACTAATAAATACTCTTCAAATACAGGAACAATCAAATCCATAATTTAATATCATTGAAAAGGAAAAAATGTCAAAGGCTTTAGAGAAAAATGTTCTGACCCCATTATATTCAAGGTATAAAAAGAAGTTCACTAGTGTAACATATAGGTAACCATAGCAACAATAAAAGTACCAAGTTATAAATTCATACTTTCTAAGCTTTTAGTCAAAGAAAAAAAAATTACTTCTAATGGACTGCATTTTCTATTACTTAATTAAATGTGACTTATCATCTTTATTTTTATTATTATTAAAGTGGTATGCTTTTGCACCACTCCTGGCATCCCCACTATTAAAGACCAATTCTTCACATGTATTTGAGGTCTCTCTTCTTCTTTCTTCTTCAGCAACTCCAACCTTTCTTCCTTAATCTAGAGCCTCACCATCAGCATTTAAATATGCTTTATTATCTCACATTAAACAAACAATATAAAAAACAAAATATAATTAAACAAACACTTTTTCTACTCCTTTCTTCAACTACCATTCGATCTATGTTCACTTTCAACAGATTCTTGATAGAACTGTCTACATATACTATTTTCTTTCTCAGTTCACATGCATCCCTAAGCTCACTTCATATTAGTTTTGGCCCATTTCTAAACTAATCCTCAGTCTCCTTTGCTTGCTTTTCCTTTTCCACCACAGTACTCTAAATTATAGTTCCTTGGGACTTGGTACTTTGCTATCTTATCTTCTCAGTACTTACTCTCACCCTAGGCAATCTAACTCTCTTCCAGATCATCAAAAAGCACCTATAAATTAATACTTTCACAATTATATCCGCAGACTCCAAGTTATTTATTTAATTCTCAGCTGACATTTCCACTTGGATGTTTCGCTAGAATCCCAAATTCAGTATATTTAAAATACATTTTTTATATCACCCTGAAATCTATTCTTCCTCTAGGTTTCCTTAACTCAGTAAATGACCATACCATCTACCTGCACAAGTAGACAGGTGAAAGTCATGTTCACCTCTTCCCTACTCAATTTTCACATCTAATGAATCATCAAGATCTATCAATCAACTCCTAAAATATAACTGGAATCCACTCCACTCTCTCCAATTCTCCTCAGAATTTCTTTGGCCACATCAGGTATCCTACTCACTTCTCTAGGATAAGTTTCTCTCAGAGAATCCTGACCTATCCAATCTAGATTGGTTGCTTCCTGTCTGGTGTCACTGCTGACACCCTGGAACCCTCCATTATTATTATCTTGATGGATCCTTTTCCAATTTCCCTGTCTCAGATACCCTGTTATCTATGTTCTTTCGTCTCCATTTGTTTTGTTTTGGTCTAGACAACCTCCAGGACCTTGCTGAGAAAAGGTAGATAGAAAGTATTTTGAAATCTGGACTGTCTGAAAATGCTCTTTCTCACCTGGAGTCTATGCTTCTAATTTAAACTAGTCCTTCAGTTCATTGTACTGTGTTCACATTACCTATTTCTATTACGTGTTATTAGCTTTTTAGGTACTCTCCTAAAACTTTAAAAACAGATGGGCTCTTCTTGGAGTGAAGGATGGCTTTGCTATAGAGTTTATTTTCTAGAGCAATACTGTCCCATAGAAATATGAGAATCACAAATTATACATGTAATTATATGCTTATTTGTAAAATTCACCCACTAAAGCATAAGCTCCTTGAGGGCAGAGGCAGTATTAATTTATCCACCAAAAAGAGTCAATGGTATAGTGCCTGGTACACAGCAAATGTTCAAAATAAAGTTATTGACTGAATGAACATGTAAATGAATACTAGAATTAGATTCTGCTCGAGTCTTTGGTGAATCTCAGTTTCAATATCAGATAAGAAATACTGTAAACTCCACTTTAAAATAGGAAGGAGAAACAAATGTTGATATGGTATATACAGTTTTGATTAATTCTACTATTGTACTACTTTTGGTGCATTCATCAGTAGATCTATGCCCAAATAATGAAAATCCACTCTAATCCTTTCATTGCAAGATTCCTTGTTGTTGGTGCTGTTGTTGTTTGCTGTCGAGTCGGCCCCGACTCATAGCGACCCCTCCTTGGGTTTCCGAGGCAGTATCATTACGGAAGTAGGATTGTCCAACCTTCCTTCCGAGGAGTGGCTGGTGGGTTTGAACCGCCAGCCTTCTGGTTAGCAGTCAAGTGCTTTTAGCCACTATGCTACCAAGATTCCTTAGTGGCATAAAAAAAAAAAAAAAAAAAGAGTTGGGGTGAGGTGTCTTTTCTAATAAGCTACCTAAACCTTCAGAGATCATACTCTGCAACTGTTAACACACCCTACCCTAAAAGTAGATTAGCTTAATTCAAATAGGGATGATTTAATTCCTGCATATTGTGAGTTGTTCCTCTGCTCAATTTTTCAAATGAAATGAGTTTCAGAAGCATAAAATCAGAGATGAAGTAGACAGATATCATCACTTATCTAGTTATATAGTCTTACTCTTCTTTAAAATTATAGTGTTAACATTCTTATCAATCTATATTCTATCCCTCCAAAATTTATTAAAATGAAACAAAATCACTGCCACACAAAGAAACAATGCACCATAATTATTGTTGTTGTTAAGTGCCGTCGAGTTGCACCATAATTAATACAGGAATTAAAGAACAAAATAATCTGTATAAATTCTAGGGGTGAACAGAGAGAAAAGATAGCATGAAACATGATTTGGACATTAAATCTTAATTAAATGCCATGGATCCTTAACAGGTCATTAACAAGAAGTCTCATTTTCCAATGTTTCATTTTTTATCAGTTATACATGCATCTAGTTCAAAGAGTTAAGTTAGTTCTAATACTTATGTACTATCCAGTCCCTTTTCCATCAGAAATAAGCACATAAAACTTTTAGCTAATTTAATGGCTTAAGTGTAAGGATTATGACCCCTTTTACTTCATAAGGCTCCTGTACAGATAAGTGAGGTTTAGAACAGATCTTTTATGGTAAGACTCCTAAGACTGAAATCTTTCAATGTCATCCTTCTTTGATTAAAATGATTCTTATATACATTTCCCTATTAGATAGTTATAATCCCTAATCCTTTCTCCCTGATTTTCAATTGAGAAATGGATGATAATTAGTTGGTGGAGGGAACCAACAACTCAACCTCCTTCCTGTGAGTTCACAGTTCCTACAGTTGAAGCATTTATAAGTTTTAGGCACAAACATAAAAGCCACTAAAAGGTCTTCAGTGAGCAACTGTAATTATGTAAGCTCTTATACAGTACAATTTATACAAGGACTACTACTACTACCCTTTCCTCACTTTTTCTTAAGATTCAGCATCACCACCACCACCACCATCCACAGCCACTGAGTCAATTCTTACTCATAATGACTCCACAGGACAGAGTAGGACTGTCCCATAGGGTTTCCGAGGCTATAAATCTTTACAGAAGCAGATTGTCACATCTTTCTCCAAAAGTGGCTGGTGGGTTCGAATTGCTGACCTTTTGGTTAGATGAGATAAAATTCATCAGTCTTAGCTTTTTAGGTACTCTCCTAAAACTTTAAAAACAGATGGGCTCTTCTTGGAGTGAAGGATGGCTTTGCTACAGAGTTTATTTTCTAGAGCACTATTGTCCCATAGAAATATGAGAGTCACAAATGGGAACCACAGATGTAATTTTAAATTTTCTAGTAAACATATTTAAAAACAAATAAAATGAAGGTAAGATTACTTTTAATGATGTATTTTATCCCAATTAATTCAAATTATTAATATATAATCAACATAAAGTATTGGTAAAATTATTTCACTTTCTGTCTCTCAAAGTCTTTGAAAATTAACGTGTATTTTATACTTAAAACACATCTCAATTTGGACTATCCATACTTCAGTGTTTAATACTCATGTATGGCTGGTAGCTACCGTATTGGCAATTCTAGATACTACTCATACAGAAATGTAAAATTAAAGGACTTGCATTGTATGAGTTTGATAAAACTATAGGCATATTAGACAGATTTGAACCAACAGTGTTTATGTTTTTGTTACAAAGTTATAAGCTATCAGTGTGGGACTGTAACAAGATTTCTGTCTTATTTCTATCAACTATACTATATACAAACTCCTACAATCCATTTTAAGTACTGGAAAATAATAACCTTATGAAAGAATAAAGAAATGTTCTTTCATTCTTGGTCTCACTCAAATGATGGAGAAGAAAATTTGTGTTATCAAGTAGTGTAAAAAATTAGAAAAGTTGAAGAGACATACACAATTAGCAGAAAATGCCCAACTGAATATGAATGACTTTTAAAAATCAACTTTGATAATTTATTCTCTTAATTATTGTACTGTACTGAAATCAAGATTTTAATGTACAGTACACAAGGGCATGGGCTTTTAAGTTAGGAAAACCAAGATTAGTGTCCTGGTGCTTTCATTCCTTAAAGTGGGGATAATTAACAGAACTACTTTATTTGGCTTCCCTATACCCGTTAACACTATTTGGTTTTATTATACTCATAATAAACAGTGCATCATGAACACAGGAACCCTAGATGCACAGTGATTAAGTACTGAGCTGCTAACCAAAAGGTCATGGGTTTGAACCCATTAGCTGTTTCACAGAAGAAATATGTAGCAGTCTGTTTTCGTAAAGATTTACATCCTTGGAAACCTATGGGACAATTCTACCCTGTCCTATAGGGTTGCTATCAGTTGCAATCAACTCAGTGGCAGTGGATTTTTTAGTTTATTAGGAGCACATTATGAAGGACACTCAGATGAGGAGTTCTAACTTTCCGGTCAAAGTCACAGGAAGGAAAAAAAGGAAGGAATGAAGGAAAAGTAATACATGATATAAGAAAATAAAAGGACAGGAGATATGGATTTGGGGTGCTATGGGGAACCATCAGTCCACTTTTATGTTTTAACTTGAGATATGGTTGTAGCACTGGTCTGGTTCCGTGTCCCTCATATGGTTGTAGCACTGGTCTGGTTCCGTGTCCCTCTGATTTTGAACAATCACTGGTTGATGATGTCATCTTTTATGACTTTCTAATACTGGTACAAACGTATTCTTATATCTTGCTTAAAAAAAGTCTGTTGTCATATTTAGGGATTTTGTGAAAAGAGGAAAGGAACTGGACTTCAGTATGCTGGTTTCCTCTTCACCTGACAGCAAGTAATTCATACAAATGTAATAAATTATGATGTCCTTTTTATTTGCCATGGAAATATAATTCTAAATTTTAAGAAGATCCTTCTTGTAAGAATATTTAAGTCGACATCATTTTAAATATTCAACTCTGTTAAATCATGGTAAAATGTAAACTTGAAATCTTAATTCAAAAAACAATTAGAGAAGTGAAAAAGCTTCACTCATAAATACAATTATAAACTCTAATTGGATCTACGTTTTTAACACTGAAGCAAGTATATTCAATGCTTAAAATAATAGAGTAATATGATCTCTATGGATTTCATAAGAAATCCTGTGAGGTGCAGTGGTTCAACACTTGGCTGCTAACCAAAATGTTGACGTTCAAACCTACCAGTTGCTCTGTGGGAAAAAGATGTGGCAGTCTGTTTCTGTAAATACTGCACACTTAGAAACCCTACAGGGCAGTTCTACTCTCTCCTACAGGGTCTAAATGAGTTGGGATTGACTCGATAGCAATAGGTTTTTGGTATATGAATTTCTAGGGTCTTAAAAGAGCTCTGGTAGCACTGTGCCTAAGGCATTTGACTGCTAACCAGATGGGTGGCAGTTCAAACCCACGAGTCACTCCACAGAACGAAGATAGGGGCAATCTACTTCTGTAAAGACTTATTGCCTTGAAACCCAATGAGGGTTGCTATCAACTTGATGGCAGTGGGCTTGGTTTGATTTGGTTTTTAGGATCTTAAAATCCAAAGGAAAATTTTTTATAATTTAATGTATAAGATTTTTTATAATTACAGTAAGTTAACAACAGTAGTGGTTCATAACTAGAACTTACCAAGTTCTGCTAAATTGCCAAATGCAACAAGACACATTTCTGTAAGAGCTGCATTTTGGCAGTGGATGCCCAGTAATTTCACTAAGGTAGGAATAACACCCATATTGATAAGCTGAGCTTGAAGGGAATCTGTAAAAAAGAAAAAAAGTTCACATATCAAATGAACATTGGTAAGAAGAAAATACCTCTTATTCTCCCTTTTGCAAACTCAATGTTATTTCAATTACAGTAAAGGAAGATGAAATCCATTCATATGATTGTCTTGAAAATTTTAAAGACATTGGTTCAAAGAGTCTTGAATATTTTCAATGCCCGAAATAATTGAGAAACAAAAATAATTCAAACAATACATTAGATCATTATATTTTTAAAACAAGGTCTTACATTGTTAATAGATTTTAAAATGTATAATTAAACATTCTCATTAGCTTTTAAATGAAAAAGTTAAGCAAAGTAATATCTGATTATAGGAAATCAAAGTATATAAACAACAGGAAAAAAGCAAGTTTAATAAAGACCAAGAAAGGAAAAAGACGTCTGAGAATCCTTTCAAAGTTTCTTCATAACAAAGAAGGACAAAGTATATTATAAATACACAAAAATTATTGGTTCGGAGTACTTGCAAGCAGAGAGGTCTTTGATGACTGTTAGGAAGGAATATAGTTTAAAAAAGAAAAAAAAGTGAGTCACTTAAAACATTTTTCTATTCATAGTTTAATTATTCTGACAGATCTTAGTAAAAGAAATAAAAATTTGGCTTGCGATGTAAAGAGAACGAGGTCACCATAACCTGGTCATCATCACTTGTCTTCATTTTCTAAGCAATTACTTGGTTTTAAAGTATTAAACATGCCTTGGATTCTACTGTGGTTCTTCATGGACAGTAATAAAATACTTGCAGCAAAACTTTAGGGAAATAAACCAAAGTAAAAACCACAAGAACTTCCTCTTACAGTAAGGTTAAGAAAAGACTGGTAAACACATGTCTATGCAACAGTTGTCAATAACTGGTTTATCCAAAAATATAGGAATGTTCTTTCAATATTTTCCTTTTGTTCCTCAAAAGTACTGTATTTTAGCATGTAACACACTCACAAAAATAATACACATACGCATATAAGATATGTAGCGTGAACAGGAAATTAATGCATGAGGGCATTGTGTGCTTTGCAAAAAAAAAAAATCAAACTATATAAAGCACTCGTTATTTGTGTAAAAATACGGTATATGCCATTTTCAAGCTAATAATTTTCTTCAAATTCTTTAAAATTATCTATTGGGAAACTAAAGATAAAACGCTGTTTCTTATAAATCACATTTTATTTATAGCATTCACCCCCTGTAAGAGAGTTTGTCTACTAATCTTATCACTCTTCATAGTTAATTTATAGATGAGGAGATGACTTGGTGATTATCAGAAAGGAACAGACAGGCAAGCTTGAGCTGCCTCACAAGCTAATTGCGTGGTGGACTTTATAGTTAGCATCTCATGCTTTTAAAGTACGAAGAGATAACTAGGAGCCCTAATGGCACAGTATTAAGCACTCAGCTGCTAACCGAAAGGTCTACAATTTAAACCCTCCAGCCACTCCACTACGAGCTCTGGTGGCGTAATCCCTAAGGCATGTGAATGCTAACGAGAGGGCTGGCGGTTCAAACCCACCAGCCGCTCCTTGGAAGGAAGACTGGGCAATCTACTTCTGTAGTGATACCATCTCAGAAACCCAAAGAGGGGTCACTATGAGTTGGATCTGACTTCACAGCAGTGAATCTGGATTTTTTTTTTTGAGCCACACCACTGGAGAAAGGTGTGGCAATCTGTTTCCAAAAAGGTTACAGACGTGGAAATATTATGGGACAGTTTTACTCTGTCCTACACATGGTTACTATGAGTCGGAATTGACTCAACAGCAGAGGGTTTGTTTTTTGAGTTATGAAGAGATAGCCAACAGATGCTTATTGTTCCTAAAAACTGATAAGTGAGTAATTAAGGGTAATTATTTGGTTAGATTGTGGGTATACCTATATTACTAAAGGAGTCTTACCAAAACAAGAATCAAAAATAGGCCTGAGAAGAAGGGAAAAGTTCTATTTATAATTTAAATAGTCTAAAACAATTTCAAATTTTGCAATGGAATTATGAAGTCTATTTAAAAAAGATAAAAATGTAATGAACTCAATTAAATTATTTCCCTGCTTTTGATGGTATTTTGTCTAAATATACAATTCAGCAATTAATGAATGACTGACAATACTTATTTTACCTTTCAGGCAAAATATTTTATTATACTGTAGGGTATAGCATTATATCTATATATTATATTGACAGAATATTTGTATTATTGGTTATAGTTTTTATAATGATCATGTCACTTTGAAAACTAAAGTGCTCCTGCACCAAGCCATGGTATTTCAATCACGTCATATGCTGCAAAAGCTGGACAATGAATAAGGAAGACCAAAGAAGAATTGATGCCTTTGAATTACGGTGTTGGCAAATTTTACTGAATATAGTATGGCTTGTCAGAACAACGAACAAATCTATCTTAGAAGAAGTACAACCAGAATGCCCCTTAGACGTGAAGATGGCAGCAAGACTTTGTTCTCACGTACTTTCAACATGTTATCGAGAGGAACCAGTCCCTGGAGTAGGACATCATGTTTGGTAAAGGGTCAGCATAAAAGAGGAAGACCCTCAACAAGATGGATTGACACAGTGGCTACAACAATGGGCTCAAACACAGCAACAATCATGAGGATGGTGCAGCACCATGGAATGTATTGTTCTGGTGTACATGGGGTCGCTATGGGTTGGAACCAACTCAACGGCACCTAACAACAACAACAGTGCATGAAAGAACTTTCCAAGTTTGAAATTATTTTGATTACTTACCAGTAGCTAGGGTTCTTACTTACTAATTCACCTCTGCAGATCTTTGCTCTTTAGCATTATTATTATTTATATGTCCATTTATTTGGACTACTTCTTCAAAAATTGCAGAGCTGCTGAATCATTAAATTGCAGGTACGTAAGCGTGAGCACTAGCGCATGCATTGAGTGTGAGTCAAACTCTGCTATATGTCTGCATATATGTAAGCATCACACACCCCTTCAGTATAGCTGGTACAAACTATATAAATCCAACAGTCCAGGGACATTAGAGGATTAACAAATTTTGTGAAGGAGATAATCCAGCAGGAGAATGCTACTTTGAAGACAATGTTCTACATGTTCTCCCAAAGTGGCTTCTCTACCACAAACGTCCCACATTAAAAATATTACAGATTTTGGTTCCAGGGAAAAGAGGGACAAAACGTTAAGAAATGTTTCAGAACACAGCTTAATACAATTTCTGACATACAAACCAAAACAGTATTATTTGATGTTGTGGCAGATCAGGGGAAAAGTAGCATGGCCAAACAGCATAGGGTGAGAACTGACCTAATTCATGAAAATCATGTTGCTATGTGAAAATGTGTTTTAAAGTTACCCAGGAGCCAAATTAATTGTATACTTACATAAAACACAAATATCACACATAAATAGAGAGAAAAATACGTAGTCATCCAATTGGACAGATTCATTTAAGACCATTTAAGGGCTTTCTTTTATATCTACTTGTGTGAATGTAACAAAAGCAAAATTATATGCAACTCTACAGTTTGCTCATACCTACTGAAGGAAAGTCATTTTCCTTGGATAATGAAAGCCCAAAGGAAAAAAAAAACACTTTACTTCAACTACATGATACAAATTTGTATTTTGTGGATAAATAGAATAGTGGTTTTCAAAGTGTGGCCCACGGGCCCCCGAGGGTCCCTTAAACCTTTTCAGAGGACCACAAAATAAAAAACATTTAGCAAATAGCAATATATTATTTGTCTTTTTTTTATTTTTATTTTTAATTTTATTTTACTTTCTATGTATTTGCACTGAGGATCCTAAAGCGATGGTAAATCAAACTGCTGGTGCCTTAACATGAATCAAGACCTGGCACCAAATTCTACTAGTAGTCATCACGTAGTCTTTACCATCACACACAGTAAAATGAGATGCCTTTATTCTTAGCATTTTTTTTGGAAATTCATTTTTCACAAAAAATGTTATTGATGTCAAAATCATGGGTTTATTATTATTTTAAAATGCAATACTGAATATGTAAAATTTAATTTCAAATATAGTAAATGTCAACAGACATAACACACACACACATATACACATACATATGTGTGTGTGCATATGTGTATGTATCTATATATAAAGTCTTTTGGGGTCTTTGATAATTTTTAAGAATATAAAAGCATCCTGAGACCAAAAGTTTTTGAGAACTGCTCTCCTAGAGTATAATCTAATTTTTACCGGAGATTGGGGGCACATGGAAGAGATTCTGAAGTTCAATGAAGTTATTGACAGATGAAATATAATAGGAAAGCTGTAAAATTTAAAAGCATGGTAGGTATCCTAGATTTTGGTGCTCAGGTATTTTGAGAGAAATTATAATAATAAAGAACATGAATATCTCAACTTGCTTATGAGTAGGAATTCTACTTAACTTTAGGAAAATATTCCATGATTGGGTCTGTTTACCTATTTCAATTACAACTACATGTATTACCATTAAGTAATTTACTTTGGATTAAGGAGGGGGCTTGTTTGTGTGGGATAAATTGGTATTAATTCTCCTTACTGCTGGAGGCAATGTTTAATTCTGATCACTTTTTCCTATTGTCCAAAGAATACTCATGAATGGACTTCCAAGGATAACAGCTATCATGAATGTTATCAGGATTATTATTTTTAAATCAATGACTAACTAGAAAAAAATTCTTACAAAAGGAAATAATTCAAATTCTTTAAATATATTTGAAACAGTGAGTAACACAACAGCAAGACTAAGACTTTTACATCCCTCAACAAATACCAGCAACTCCAGGGGAATGCTCAACAAACACCACAATTCACAAAAATGCAATCCAGGCCCATACACAGCAAACAATTACCATGTGTGAAAGACATCTTTAAATAGCACAGTGTCATAAAAGTCTGAAGACTTTTTAAAAAATTGCTCCCGACACACATCACAGACAAATATATAGAATTACAAAATTACATAATATCAAGATGACAC